TATTTTATTGTACCTTATAAACTTAATAACACGATACTATGTTTCAATCGGGCCCATAAAATGGTTCAATGTAGCACTTTGTTAAGTTTGCTGAAAATTTGCATCGTAGAATGGTACAAGATACCGATATTTATGAAGGTGTATTCATTACTATGCACTGTGGGCCAGAAGACCATGATCTTTGGCCAAAAGTCAAAAATTAAATTTTCAACTAAAATATGTATAGGCAGTTTTAATATAGCCCAAATTCATAATGATTCCAAACATTATAATTTACTTTTCGGACCGACGAGAGAGCCATGTAATGAAAAACATGTTAATTTTTTTTTTTAAATGTAACTTTTAAATTTTTTTTTCAGAAATATATATATAGGAATTTCACCTTTCTGTTACATTTTTATCAGAGTAATTAGTCTGAAATTTTAGTACAATTTTTCAATTTGTTGGATTAGTTAATACTCTTGACAAACTTAAAGTTTATATCTTTTAACAAAAGTCATTCAAACATTTTACAATGTTTGAATGACTTTCGAGACTTAGTTCCAAAAAGTTCCACGAGGTAATTAGCTAAACTTTTTTTTGCTGTCTTCTTTCATGTTTCTTCTTTCGAAAAAACCTGCCCCATTTTCCCCGTATTACAAAGGTGGACTAAATATACCGAAAAACAAAAATTATGTTTTCTCTTCATGTTTTCGCGTTATTTTGTAATATTACTTCGTAAATATAATTTGCTTTTCATTTTTACTATAAAATTACTAAAATTATTATATTTTCATTGCTATATTTAATTATTTAAACGTACTATATTATTATTTTTATTTTTGCTCACCATATTTCTGCCGCCATTTTGTTTTTGTTTTTTGGTATTTTTAGTGTATTTCGAAATTTTAACTATGAATTCAATTTACCTGCACATAAAAACCCCTAAATATAAACCCCCAAATTTCGAAACAAATGTTTATCGAAATACGAATTTTGGCCACGAAACCTTGGATGCTGGCCCACTGTGCCATGTTCCAATTCGTATTTCAATCAAATATCATTTGTGACCAAATTAACTCGTTTAATGACATAACCAGTGAAATAGTATTTTTTTCAAAAAACCCCATTCTTCTTCAAACCTGATGGTAATTTAATAAAACCAAGCCCGTCCAACGTGAAGAGTTCGGAGGGGAGGATGACCTCGGGGAATATTATTTCTCCTTTATTTTTGTTTCTCGAGAGTATGTCGGCTCTGAAAAGATGAATGATTCGTTAATCACACACCCATGACTAAGGAGAAGATTACAGAGGGTCCGATTGCTAATCAGGACATTGTGATTATGGACTGCCACTGGATTTAGGCCTATCCTCCGCTATCACTCTTCCAGATCGTCTTCCCTCTGGGGCATCTTTGCTTTTTTTTCCTTCCATTTAGGTATTTTATTATGGAACATAATAAAACATGCCTTAATAACTCGCTGGGTTTTTCGCTTGGTACACCGCAAGACTTCTACTGGAATTGAGCTCAGAGGCGTGTTTTGCTTGAGAAATCATCGTCTGACTTTATCTTTTGCGCTCGTATATTACTGTATAAGTATTTGCTTTGATAACTTCGGGATGGATGTTACGTTTTACTGTTTAAGAAACAACAACTTTATACTCGGATTTTTCTATCAGAATTATGTTAAACAAACTTTTCAAATTCTATGCGGATTTGACAATTGTTTAGAGTAGAATTATTTGTAACTAAAATGGCGTATAAGCAATATGCATTGTTTCAATCGTAATATTTTAAAGAAAGAAATTTTAGAAAAGGTGGATTTTCGAAATTTTCAATTATATCATTCAATATTGTTTCATTCATATTTATTCTATTAGCTATTGGTCAATAGTTGTTTTTTTCCCCAATTATTATAAATTTACTTGTTTCAATTATATCATTCATTATAGTTTCATTATATTTATTTTTTTAGCTATTGTTCCGTAGTTGTTTTTTTTGTTGTTAATTATTATATTGAAGTTTATTTTATTAGATATCAAGTTATTTAACTATTAAATAATTTTATCAACTATTCCAATATAGGCATTTTATTAATTATTAAGTATGCACGCGTTAATTGTTGTTTATTATTAGATATATTCTTTTTTTTAGTTATTTATTATTAGATATATTTTTATTAGTTGTTTTGCTATGTGTTTTTTCATTGCTTTGTTAGCTATTTTGTTATAGTTTTTGTATTATTTTATTATTTATTTTATTGAGTTTCAGCAAAGCAAGTTATGTTCACAGCAATAGAATGTAGCAAAATAAAATCTCATTCTAATGTATTTTTTTAAGTTAAAATATGAACGTAGAGTTAGGACAATTTAACATTGAAATATTACTTACCTATACTATCAAAATAAATACATATTTAAGTATTTATTTTCATAACTTATACTATTGGGTATTTATATGTTTATATGCTGAAACATTATTTATAAGATATCGATCTCATATAACGAATATTCATATGAATTTATTTTTAGCACGAAAAAAAAAACATTATTTAGTAAGGCTGCTTACTCAGTTATTTGGAATGATTAATTTATTTTTCTAACATGAATAATCATGCTTAAAAACACAAAATAATATTCATCAGAAGGGAGATATTTCTTTTGATGAGCTGTTAGTTTTTAATGCAATAAATATAAGAAAAAATTCACCTGATGAATTTGACCAAGTTCGAATACATTAGAAGGCGGTAATTTTTTTTCAAAGACTAACACAGTTCATTGCGTTGTTGAGCCGAAACCCATTACGAATTAAAATTAAAAGCCTAAAATTCAGAAGGACGACTTCACACTTTTCATTAATTAGGCTTTCCTGTATTTAAAAAAGGGGTTCTTAATAAAACTTCTACGAATTATTTTCTTGAATATTCATATAAAAACGGGAGATTTCCATAGAAGATTATACAAAAAAAAAAACGTATTCATGTACTCCCTAATTTCCCATATCAGCGGCAAATTTTAATTTTTAGAACAAAAAATTCGATTCAATCTTAAGAAAAAGCAAAGAAGAAAAAAAAAAGCAAAAAGAAGGAAACTGAATGAAAAAAAATGAATATTCATATTTTAGCTTCTTTTAAAAAGAATTGTGATCTCATATGTGAATAATTAACCCCAAATTTTGGAAGCAAACTGATGTTGTATCCGATTATACAGTGCTTAATTAGCGCTATTTTTTTCCTTCTCGAACTCGATTCGCGCCGCGGAGCTCGTTTGCAGCCATATCTCGTTTGCGACTTTTAACTCTCTCTCATTATGCTAATATGATGTGATGTAGTGATTTAAACAAGAGTGAGGATTTTTTTTTCTTTCTTCTTCATTCGTTTCTTCTTTTCTGTCTTTTTTTTCCCTTCACTTTTTACCTGAAGCGTGATAATAAGTTGCTAAATGGCATGGTTTAGTCAAAACTCTGGAGCCATCTTGAATGCATTACGTCAGAAAACATTGTGCATTTCCTCTTATGTCGTTAATTTGAAGAGTGTAAGTCGGAATGCATATGTACCGTCATTTTGAATATATTTAGTTTATTCGCGGACTAGTTGTCTTTTTCTGTCCCTTTGGGGTTCAAAATAATGACCCGATTCCGAATTTTTTTCTCCACTCACGGGTATTCCAAGTAGTTGCATTTAAAATTTTTGGAAAGGGTGAAAAAACTTTCCTGTTTTTTTTTCATTCTTGAAGCAACACTCTAAATTTAATGCTGCAATTCCCTAATGGTTCTATGGATATATTCTTATGCTTATTATTTTTCGATGAATCTGAGGGTAGATTTCAATGTTTTTCTTCTTTTCAAATAAAATGAATAAAAATGAAAAATGTTTTTAAGCTAGGGTAAAGATATTTTAATATTTCCTAAATTTTTTAATACATCATAATTAAAAGTAGCATAAACTAAAAAAAAAATTATTAAAAACCTTAAGTTCCTTCATTATCTGAATACTTGGAATATGCTTAATATTTTATGATGCTTATTATTTTGCGATAAATGAATTGTACTATCGCATATAATTATGCTTATTATATTTTTACGCTTTTTCCTTAATGATAAATATGGGGGTGAATTTCAATGCTTTTTAATAAATAAAATGATTTAAAATCAAATTATTTTTAAACTACATTTAAGATGTTTTAATATTTCCTCAAGTTTTTGATATATCACAATTAAAGGTAGCATAAGCTACAAAATTTATTAAAAATCGTGTTTTATCTAAATATTCGGAATACGCTTATTCTTTTACATTGTTTATTATTCTACGATGATTGAATTGTATTATCGCTGATCTTTATGCTTATTATATTATTATGCTTACAAAAGGGGTATTCTTCATATTATTTTCAACCTATTTCAATGCATTAAATTGAACACGATGCATGGTATATGTATGATAATGGTTATGATGTGTACTATGGTTACGTATGATTTTGTTCATTGATACAACTCAACATGTTATAATGTCTGAAAATTACGAGATAAGTTTTAAACTCATTGAGAATCATAGATTGATAAAGATTTATAGTGATTGATAAAGATTTTATGTACCATTTGTAATGATACATAAAACAATAAATATGAATAATGAAAAAGAGCTACAGTGCGGCTTTCAGGAGAACTCCTCCAGACCTCAGTTTCGCTTCGTGGTGGGTACCATGGTTACGAGAAACAGTCACTTCTAATAGGGGTGTGGGGTTAACACTTTTGTCTTGATCTTGGCATAGGTCAGCGTGATTAAATCAATCGACACCTTCATTCTTTCATTGCACTCTCATTAGAAATGTACTCTTGCTTGTTACTATAGCAGCAGACAGCCCCAGACTTTTAGTCTGGAGGAGTTCTCCTCAAAGACGCACTATACTTTTCTGATGATGACAAAAATGTGTGAATGGGAAATATTACTCTTTATTTACTGAATGCTTCATCTTCTTAACGTTTGTCTGTTTTTCAACATGTTGTTTTTATTTTGTTGCAGGTAAGAGTTTCTCGCTCACCATAACCCTGAGTACAAGTCCTCCTCAAATAGCAACCTATGTTAAAGCCATAAAAGTTACTGTTGATGGTCCTAGAGAGCCTAGACGTGAGTATCTTGCAAAATTTTTTTAGATTCATAAAATACATTTTTCAAACGTTGGAGAAGTGTATTAAGATTATTGCTCTTCTTCTTCTTGAGCTCTACAGTCTGTTATGAGCCAATACTGTCTTTTCAAGTCAAAGAGATAATATTTATAGGGCATTATTTTGTATTCGATTTGAGTGAAAAAGGGAAGAAAAACGTTTAGAAGCATGCATTTTGTCCATACACTGATATTGGATGCTATTAAATTTTATATTTAGTTTTTCAAAAATTATATAAATATTTTGGGGTAATAAATATAGTTTTTAATGTTTTAATTTTTGATAAAGTCTCCGCCAGCTTTGAAGACATACCGACAGCTTTTGTTTTTAAAAACTGATGCAGTAAACTAAGAAAAACTTTATGGTCGAAACTACTAGCATATGGTAAAATTTACCGTGGTTCTGGCTCTATAAGAACACCAAAAAGCTCGGTAATTTTCACACAAGTGTTTCAGTAAAGAATCTTGGTAAAATGAAAAATAAAACATGGTTTTATAATAAGCTATAAATATTCGTAAACGCGATAAAATTTGGATTTTAATAAGATAATCCATGGCATAAAAACCATTTATTCGTTAAAATTTACGTTTCAGTTTTATATTATTTTCCAAATATGTGATAATAAGAACTGTAATCTTTGAAAAATAGAGTTTCTGGTAACCCGTTACCATATGAATGAAGAAATTACTAAATGAGTATTTTAAATGTCGCTTATTTTGGTTTTATTAAACAGAATTATAGTTTTCTTTCACCTGAAATGTCATTACCGTGCAGTACGGTAATTTTACCAGAATACTTTTCTTTGTGTATTAGTATAAGTAACGAAATTTTAATCCTCAATTCAGTTTTAATTCGCCTACGAAATTGTGATGATTTTCTTTCTTTAAATGATGTATGCATTATTTAAAGAATTGATTCTAGATTTGATTTTTTTTTAAAAAACACGCATTTAAAATGCAATTTCGCTATAAATTATGAAACTTACGCATACAATGAATCCATATAAGAAGTTATACAATCTGAATGCAAGATATATTTCACCTAAATAAAATTTGTCTGCTTAAAATTATAAACCAAATGTAAAAATTTTAATACGCCTTTACAGTGGACAATTAACATGATACATTTAAAAAAAAATGGAATTAAATTTTTGTACTTTGTTAGAAACTTTTTCTAAATTAAACCTTATCTACATACGCGGTTCGAAATAATAAATCAAAATTATCATTGAAGAAATCAAGAGTCTTTAAGGAATTTTTGGGAGTTGTCGATTATTAATTTAGATATCTGAAGTATTTTAGGTTATTTAAAATTAAACCCTTCTGTTCTTATAAGAACCTTTTTGAAAACTAAGCTTTAACGGAATTAATAATAAAAACAATATTATGAGCAGCGTTGAAGAAAACCTTTTAAAGAATTTTTTTGGCGCTTTGTCAATTGTGGGCTCCCTTAAAAGATCCTTTAATAATAACAATTATTAACGCTTAACCTATCAGGTCAGTCAGTGGTCTGCGACCCAAAGGGATGATTGAAGAGTTCGGGACCCTAACTAATAATTATCCCTGGGACAATGGGAGAGTTGTTTCTGTCCTCACCTGCCACAAAAGGATGGATGGGAGGTGAAGTTGGAGGCCCCCTCTTGAAAATGATGACTGATTGGTTCGCTGACTAAATTATTCATGTCACTTACTTAGGGATAATTGAGTGGTTATGCAAACTAAAAGTTTCTGCAGAACTACCAAAAATAAAATCCCACTCAAGTTTATTTTCTATACTTAGAATTTTGCTCTTATTTTCAAAAAATTTCTTCAGATAAGAATTCTCTCTCTGTCGAAACTAAAATGGATTTTAAATGAATTCGTTTTAGTCACATTTAGAGTTTTATTTTTGTTCGCCAAGCTTTCACCATTCTCTTTATTCCAAAGAATGTTAAATGAATACTTCAAATGAGAATATTTTCAAAACTGAAATGGATCTTAAAATTGATTCGTTTATATTCTGAACTTATATCACATTTAAACTATAGCATATGCTTTAAGTATTTTTTTTTTCCCTTCGTAGTAATTGCTTGTGAAGTTAAATCTACTGATATTTTGTAAATAATGCGAAAACTAGGTTTTTACCTGGGATTCTCATGTGTTAAAAACTAAGCAATTATCTAGAAAAATAAATGAAATAAAATTAATAAAATCCTTTTCCGTAATACAGAACGGACTGAATTGATACTTTGTAATAATTCAATGCGCCATGGTTTGGTAACCTCATGCTCCGAAATCGGTACTATACCGTCGAATTCCAGCGATATTACTTAATCAAAATTATAAACTTAAACCAAACCGTGTCATCTGACACGCAGTAGTAGGGTACTATGATTTGTGTTGAGAGTCAAGCATAAGACCAACCAACTAGAGTCAGTCTGATGTGATATTGAAAGAATACTTTTCTGAATATGATTTCATGTTAATTATCATTAAAATTTAATTTTCGTTCATATTTCTTCGTTTACTTTTTTCGGTAGAAATTATTTTGTTTCATTGAGAGGTTTCTTTCATAAATAAAGCTTGCAACATAGTAGAAAAGTCCACGTTAGGAAAACGAACAAACCCTACTTGCTGCATAAGATAATTTCTGAAAACAAATATTTATCATTTCGACATATATTAACAATATATATTATAATATTAACAATGCTTATATTATAATATAATATATTATAATATAATTCTAATATTAACAATGTTTATATTATAATATAATATATTATAATATAATTCGAATATTAACAATAAATTGTACAATTGCCTAACCAAATTTTACAAACAATTGAACAGTTTTTCCCCCCGCAAAAGGGGATCTAAAATTTTTTTGCATATTTTGTGTTATTTACAAACCCTCTGATATCGACTTTCCAAAGAAAAAATCTATTAAAAAAACTATAACGAAATTAATAGCACTGTGTTTAATATGTTGTATGCATTAGTAAATTTGTAAAATAAATCTAAAAACTAACTGGAGTTATTTAGAAGAGTATAAAAAATCAAATTTTTTAAACACACAGAATCTAGGAGCCGAGCTCTTTTAAAAAATTATTGCAGACACACTATCGCTCTCAAGTCCTAAAGAGCTTAGGTTTACAGACAAATTTGTCATACTATTATAAGCATTACTGAAATTGTATTTATTCAATCCCATGTGTCGCCATGTATCCTTTAAAAACTCTAGACCTAAGTCTAATATGTTTGTTAAAATGGTTCGACGTTTTTATGCTTCAGAGCCAAAATAATTAAAAGTCAGAACTTACAGGCAAACCTGTCATAAGTATATATTCACTCTAAAGCATTTTACGTCTAACCGAAGCAATCTCTTTCGCTTCTAAAAAACTGCATTTGCGAAATAATACCCCAAGAAAACTTCTCCGAGAAATTCCCTATCTACAGTTGTCATTTGTAATATTTCGACAAAACAGATCAAGGCAGGGTACCCCAAAACGTAACCGAGTTACATACTGCAGCTCACTCATTCTCGCCAACTTCGCTCAAAGGAAAAGTGGATTCCTTTACAATCCCGCTCCATTGCAGAAGCTCGTATAAAGCCAGTCTGTCTATTGCCAGAAATCCAATTTGCTTTGATAAGGTTACCTACCTACTGAGTTGATGAATGCCAGATCCTTTTGCAATGGAGTTGTTGGCCACAAAACTTGATAGTCATTCAGGATGCGGTTTATTCATAGAGGAGAGTTGCCTGCTGGAATACATAGGGACTGATTCGCTTATGGATTGGGGATATATTACTTGATCAAGAAAACGTGGAAAACTTACAAACTCGAATTCAATGGATTTTGCGAAGGTTCGCTTTGTTGCTTTTGTTATTATTTTTTTTTCGGTCTTATTTTGATACTGGGATTTTAGTAAAATGGGGTTTTTTTTCTCCTTCCTTTTTGTTCAGTTCTTGAAACTAAATATAGGATGGGCTTGATACGGTATGATGATAAGAATGATAAAATGATGTCAGATAATGCTCAGGAGAGTCTGTTTGCCGAAAAAAAGCATAACAATTTCCGTCCAGTCAATGAGAAGTTTATTAGTATCAATCTGTTATCTAGTGGAATTCCGTAAACTTGTAGGTCACTTATTTGAAAATAATACCGCGGAATGCTTTTCACGTTAATTTCATTTATGGAAAAATTGTGACTTATTACTATAAACTCCGAAACCTCCATATATACATATTTATATAAAAATATATACTTTGAGTATAGAGTGATTTACAAAATTGTGCATATTTAAAAACTAAATTATACTTATTTCTTATTTCAGTATAGCATTAACGATCTGAATTAAGATATTTTTCTAGCAAAAATTAGTTAAAATGTATTTAACCGTCCGTTCTAACTGCTACTTTTTCGTTTACATGCCATTCCTTAAATATTGTGTAAAACTTTGTGATCTTGTATCTGATTTCAGAAAATGCTTTAATTTAACTTATAATTTAAGCTTAAAAGTTTTAACTTGCAAAAAAAATATAAAACTCTTTTCACCCATTTTAATGTTGCGAAATTAGGAAAAAAAACATTTATATAACTTTACTACTAATTCTAATTACTACTAATTCTAACTTTTTTTCAATGAAATGATAGCCAAAAAATAATTAGTATTAATTTCCTAAACTGACTTTTTGTGAAGAAATTTCAATGCTTTTAGCAGTTAAGCTGCTAAAGGTTTTATATATTTTTATGCATCACAAATGCTTGCAGAATAATTATTTTAATTTTGATGAAATTTTAGATTCCCGAATATTAATACCAATTTAGTATAATATTTTTGTTTCAGTAGAAAATCAAGCAGTATCCATCAAATTATGTTTGAAGTCATCATAACCACAGTGTCATGTATCATAACCATAGTATCAAGTATTTATGTATCATAAATAAAGTATCAAGCAATTTATGAAATGCACCATTTA